GATTAAAGGTGTGTGCCACCACTACCCGGCGTTATCTTGTGTTTTTCTATTCAAATGAGCAGATAAATATTTTTTAACTGCTTTCTTTTAAAATTAAGCATTATTACAAAAAGCATACTTGTGTAAGTCTGGAATTTGGACCCCGCTATAGAAACAACTTGGCTTTCTTGTGATAATGATCTACTTTTGGGCAATAATTCCCTTTTCATATATGAAGGGTAGTAATCATTTTACATGTTATTTTTTTTTAAAAATTTATTGTTACTTTACGTGTATGAGTGTTTTACCTGTGTACCACATGCAAGCCTGGTGCCCAGGGATGTTAGAGAAGGCAGCACTGAATTCTGGGAAGTAGTTAAATACGGTTGTAAGCAGCTGTGTGAGCTCTCTCCAAGAGTTGCAAGTACTCTTAACCTCTGAGTCATCTTTCTAGTCCTTTAATGTTCTTTTTATACTTCTCTTTTTTCAAACACACATTGCATACAATAAAATGCCCCAAACCATCTCATCGAGATCGTCCTCATTTTTCATAAATACCCTTGAAAGTATTTTTTATTCTGAATTTTTAAAAATTAGATTCATTCACTTTATATCTGAGTCTTCTGCCTGCCATGTATGTCAGTATGTGAGCCATGTGTGTGCTTGGTGCCAGAGGAGGTCAGAAGAGGGCATCAGATCCTGGAGTTAGAGTGATGGATGACTGTGAACTGCCATGTAGGTGCTGGGAAGAGAACTCTGCAAGAAAAACAGGTGATCTTAATCACTGAGACATTCCTCTAGCCCACTTTTAAAAAAAAGAAAAGAAAAATAGTTAACAAGGGGCTGGAGAGATGGCCTGGTGATTAAGAGCACATACTGCCTCTCTAGACTGAGTAGGGTTCCCAGTACCCACATCGGGTGGCTCACAGGGAATCCAACGCTTCTGGCTTCTGCTGGCACCTGCACTCACTTGTGTATATAACCACACATATAATTAAAAATAACAATAAACTTCACCAGGTCCTCAAAGGGTTGATTCTCTCAAAAATAGAGGGGAAAACAAAGAAAGACTATTGCTCTTAAATATATGATTATCAATTCTTATCTTTAAACTGTCAGGCTAACTGCCTATGTATCTGACTTTATTTTGAGAGGTTAAACAAACAGAAAAAAACAAAACATTGCTGCATGCTCCCACCACACAATACTACACTGACCATCCATCCGTCATATCTGCTTCAGCGTGTTAACCCTCTCGGCAACTTCTGAGAGGAATTAAACACCTAAATCACATCAAGTCCACGCGCAGCCCCCTGCTCAACTCACTCTTGCATCGGGAGACGTGTTTGGAGAGCAGCAGAATTTAATGTCTAGCTCTTTACTGCCATATCTACTAACTTAGTGTCTTAAATCCCCCAGCCAGTGAGCAGCCTTTGAACTCAAGGCCAGAGTTCGTACCCACCACTCTACGCAGCCTGTACCTTCTCAAAGGGTCTCTCCACGTAACAGTCAGCACAGACAACCTTCAGAGATGAGGTGGCCAGCTCTATGAGGTGGCCCTGATCAGGATGGGGCTGACTCTGAATGCAGCAGGCCATGCCATCAATCGCAGGGTTTCAAGGGCTGCCTTTAAAATGTCATCCTGTGACTTGATTCCACGTGGGGCGGCGTGGTCATCAGAAAACGGGACCTCATCGGACCGTGCCTCTCCATCCTCTAATAACCCTCAGCCTTCTAGGGAAGGCCAAGTGGACGAGTGAGCTGAATGAAAACTTACACGTTTTCCTTTCATGTTTAATGGACGTTCCAGTCTCTCCAAAGTAACGCAAAATGAAAACAACAGAATGAGAGAAAACAACCTGTCCATGCATCACTCAACTAAGAGCACTTTAAAAAAAATGACTTTTCCTTATAAAATTCTGAGGGAAGTGTCTGGATCTGTCTGGCTTGGTTCAGCACCTGAAGCCTTACCATGCATTTTATTTATTTATTTGCAGTCTGAGAAGCAAAAGGATCAATCTATATACTGAATACTTAAGACAAGTCACCCAAGACTGAAGGCTCCAGTCAACAGGGAAGGAAACAGCTTCTGGGCATCATGATGGCATGGACCCTGCCCTTCTCAGCAGGGACTGAAGCACCTTAGACTGGGGGGTTTTGGCTGCTGGGCTAGCTCCTGGAGACTTGCATAGCTATTACATTTGTCATTTTAACAACTCTGCTACCTGGATGTGGTACAAGGCAATTGGTGTTACTACTTCAACATAATCAGGATGACTGCATACTCAAAGGCGACCCCTTCATCTTGTTTTGACATGTCCAGTACCTCATCAATTCTTAACGGAGAACTGAGATTTAAGTGTCTTCTTAGTAGAAAATAACCTCATCTGGCCCGGCTTTGCGGGACCAGGCCCAAGAAATGCCAAGTAAAACTAGACAGCAACTGTTGCTTCACTCTCCGATTCTCCTGAGCAGCTCTGCATCCCTTTGAAAGATGTGGCCCAATAAGGTCAAGGGCTTTCTGTGCCACGGGTTTGCGAATAGAAAGGCCAAAGGGCTAAACAGGAAATGTGCTAGGGACTGGTTTCAGTTCTGAATGGTCAGACTACTTCTTATACAAGTTACAAGGATAAGTAGCTACTTCTTATCCTTGAAGACCAGACTCAGACATAAGCTAAAAGGTAAAGCCATAGAAAAGGAGCAGAAATACAGAAAACATCAGCCAAGCTGTCCTCCTCCAATAGCCAAGAACAAAGCAGTGAAACAGCTCAGACAGAGCCCCAAGAGGAAAGTCTTTGAAAGCCCAATCAACAGTCACGACCTAGTTTGGCTATGAGGTTACAGTTAAACCACTCAGTGGGACAGACAACGAATATCCCACGGGGCTTAGAGCTCTGGAGTGGCCACCTGAGTTACTACCCATCCTCAACAGGGCCAGCAGCGGTAGGTGTGTAATCCAAAGCACGCCACACAGAGGGTAACGAACCACTAGCAGCACAGACCAATTCTTTCAGTGGAACTGGATCTCTAGAGTTGTCAGGCTAGCCCAACATGGTGGCACACACCTTTAGTCCCAGCACTTAGGAGGCAGAGGCAGGTGGATCTCTATAAGTTCCAGGAGAGCCAAGGGTACATAGTGATACCCTGCCTCAAAAAAAGTAAAGAGTTGTTAGGCCATAACGTGATACAGGGAATGGAGAAGCCACGTGAAATTAAAGGTACAGGGATGGGGGGGCGGCAGATTTCACCAAGATGGAAGGGAAGCTGGGCATAAGTGGCCGCTAAGAAGGACACAGCTTGGGAAAGAAAAGCAGATGAATCACCAGGGCCAATCACTGCTTGTTATGGTTATTACCAAAGAGGGTGTTCTGCAGCTGGATGGAAGCTTTCCAACTCTTACAAGGAGCCTTTTTCTTCAGGTCATTTAACAGTTCCTGTCAATTTGAAGGATTTAAATCCCAGCAGCTTTTAGTGCAGTCACCGTGGCGTGAATGTTTAGGACAAAGCCACATTTCTGACAGAAAAAAACAAACAAACAAACAAAAACAAACCTGAAAGGGAAGCACCATTTCCCCCCAGGGCTGACCACCTTATTTTTACATCCCCCTCACAACACCATTCTGCATATACCCCGCTGTTCCTAATCTTGAACCGAAAAGCTAAGGAGTGTGGGCTTGGATTTTATCAATCAGGTTTAATATGCAACCTATTGACTAAATATTGGCATTTCTACCCTATAAGGAGCACAGAAGAGAACAGAACGTCATAGGATTTTTTAAAAGACCATGGCCGTCACTTGTATTACGGAGTTTAAATGGCGACACGTTGCTTTAATCTGCCGGCTACATCGCAAGATCAACTGCAGGGAGGAGGCTTGCATGATACCAGAGAGATGGTTGCCAGGTTAACCCTCTTCACCTCTTCCTCTTGAATGTCCAAAAGCAAGACTGGGTACACATCATGTATTCATTATAGCTTCCCAGGAATCTAAGCCAAAAAGACTACACCACTGTCTACCAGTCTCAGCCAGGTGGTGATGGGGCATGCCTTCTGTCAAGGCAGAAGGGCGACGTGAGTCCCACAACGCGACGTGAGTCCCACAACAGCCTGGAATACAAAGACGCGTCCCCCATTTCGCTCCCTCCAAAAAAACGAGAAAAGAAGGGCTGGGAATGGGGCTCGGTGTAGAACGCCTACATAGCACGTACAAGACCACGACGATAAACCCCCAGCACCGCCAAAAGAAGAACAAATCACTTCCCCACTCTTCCCTACTTGTCAGCAATACACTCGGGTCAGTGCGACTTTTCTTGAGACTGGGTCTTGATAGCTCAGCTGGCCTTAAATTCCTGAATCTCTTGTCTCCACTTCCCAAGTGCTGGGATTACAGGAGCCAGCCACCAAAACCTTCTGCATGGTAGGACAAGCTCTCCACTACTGAGCTCCGGTCCCTTCACCCCCTCACCCCCCGCCACTCCCTTTTGGGAGTGGGGGAGTGGGAGGGTTGCTGTGAGTTTATGTTTTGAAGGCCTTTCCCCTCGGATGCATGGCCTCCATCTCTCTCGGTGCGAAGCCTGAAGATGTCCATCCACGGGCCGGGATTCCGGTTACTGGATCTCAGGCGCAGGCCCTTCAGCGCGTGGAGGCCATAAGGACATTTCTCCATTGAGCAGCAGCCTCAAGAGAGGCCCACCGCTCCCTGAAAAGCTAGGAATGAATCTCCATCCCGAGAGCTGTGGAAATTGAGGCATGCGGGATGCACTCTCGCCGCGGACCACAGAGGCCTCGGTGCGTCGGTCTCGGCCACGCAGCCACCCCGCACCTCCTCCCTGAGCGCTACGGCCTGCACCCACGGCCGCTACCGCTACCTGCACTCCATGAACGATGTAGACCTTCTCAGCCTCGCTCAGCGACACCGACGCCATGCCGCTCCGCTCACCGTGCGCGCTGGCGCGTCATCAGCCTGCGCCCTTCCCCACGGTGCCCGCGCGTCATCAGCCCGCGCGGCGGCCGCTCCCGCAGCCGCGGCTGCCGCCACCGCCTGGAGCTCCATGGGCCTCTCCTGTGCGCCGTCCGGTGTGAGGCCGAGTCCGGCAAGCCGCGCAACCCGGTGCCCGAGCCATCGTGGACGCTGGAGGCTGGGACCCGGGGTAGGGGCAGCGGCTGGCGGCGTGGGACTGCGAGCTGCCTTCAGATTGACGGTCAGTGCGGAGAGGAAGCCCCGGGAGGAGGGAGACGCGGGGCCCCAGCCGGGACTCGGCAAGAAGCGCGCACTCTTGCGCGCTGGGGCCGGAGTCGAAGTAGCCGAGCTCGCGCACGTGAGACGCCTCGGGAAGGCGGAAGTCGTGTTGCCCGTGAGGGACCATCTCCTAAAGTCCCTTAGTTGGTCCTTAGGATGGCTGAAGAGACCATGGATCCCTCGTTAGGTCACTCTAGTCCGGAAGCCAGGAGCGGGGCGCCGGCTTCTCAGTTTGCTCACTCCGCGCCCCACTCCAGGGATCGATCTTTCTCTGTCCTCTCCTCCCTTATCTCTTCCTCCCATGCTGCCCGTCATCAGATAGTGACCCAGGGCTTTGTAAGTTAGTTGCTGGAGTATTGTCCCAGAGAGAGTTGGGAGAGTGTCTTGCGCTTCGAAAGGCCTGGATGGAGGAGATAGCTGGGGGAGGCGTATGAGCAACTGCCTGAAAGACAACCGACCCTGGGAGGATACGGGAATTGGATATCCAGAAAGAAATGCCTGCAAGGTGAAGCTGGGGTCATCGTGGGAGCCCTTTAAGGAAGAGCGATAGTATATGAACCGAGTTTGAAAGGAGCGATGTGGGGAAATGGGGGGAGTTGGTTGACACTTCACTTACCAGATGCTCTACTTTTGAGGAAAGTGACCCTTCACACCTTAATCATCAAGAAATAAAAGGTGCGGGCCACACACGTCTTTAATCCCAGTGCTTGGGAGGCAGTAGTAGGCAGATCTCTTTGAGTTCAAAGCCAGTCTGCGTTACATAGTGAGTTCCAGGACAGCCAGAGCTGCGTAGTGAGACACTGTTTCAAAGAACAGCAACAAAAATAGAGAGGCTTTTCTTCTCTTTGGCCTCACAACTGACTGAGCAAATAAACGGAACTTCTAATCAAAGACTCTTCCAGGGCAGAGGGAAAGGCTACTGTAAGCATAGCCTCAGAACACGGTGATTAGAGATGTAACAGGATTAGCGGCTATAGTGGGTGAGGAACGCAGCAGGAAGTGCCTGACTGTATTCCTAGGTACTCTTAATGGAGCCCTCCAATGGATGGTCTTTCCCACTGATAGACTGGACATGAATTTCCTGTGTGCACACGTAGTACTGCAGGTGCTCCGAGAGAAGACTTCCTGCAGGGTTGAACTTTGCCCTCCAGGGTAACTGGGAAAGGCGAAACCGGAAAGGTTTTCTTCCTTTTGTGGAGGAATAGGTGCCACACTTAATACAGCACCTATACCCTATCTCTCTGTGTGTGTTTGATTGGACATCTAGATTCCGTGTGAGGAACTGGCGAAATAACAAGGACTCCTGTTACGGTACCCTGTGCCGGAGATTATTGGGAAGACAGGCCATTTGGTGGGAGGCGAGCTGAAGGTTGGGAAGATGAGAGAGAGAAGTTGAAAAGTCAGAAAAGAAAGACATCGGAGACTACCATGGAGTCATTTTCCTGGAAGAAAAATATTTCATCATATCTTTAAAAATACATAATAGTGATAGAACACTATTGTGTGCAAAAGGCCCTAAGTTCCCTCACCAGTACCACACACACACACACACACCGTACCCTCACAATCAACAGCAGGTTCTTTGTGGGGAAGGGTCAGCATTACTGATTTGGTGACATAAGAAGTGGCATTTATAATCTCTGGTAGAACACTGGTGCTCTCTTCAGTTACTCCTCAGTGCCGCCAGGTCATTTTCATCATACTTGTCAAGCTCATTAGACGTCTTTAACGCTTATCAACCCATAGCTCTTTTTTACTGAAGCAATTCAAAGAACATGTTAGAACCGAAAAAAAAAAAAAAAAAAAAGAGCCAAGGATGGCAGGTTTTTTGGTTTGGTTTTTTGGTTTGTTTCATAGTGTTTTGTTGCTGTGTCTTTTATAAAACCCTGTGCTCTATTTATTTTCTATGGCGCTGTGTGATGCTTTTTGTGTGTCAAAAACTTTACAAAGATTCACCTCTCCAAAGAGCCTTATGAGGACGATTTTACAGTTTGGGAAACAGGCAAAGTCACAGATCACAGAACTAGTAAGTAACAGAGGCAGGATTTGAGGGGAGGCTTTGTGGCTCCCAAACCTGCAGTCCTAAGTGTCAGCTTCTATAGCCCCTCACAGCCTCTGTCATCCATCAGGAAACTTAATGCAGAAAGCCCATGTTTGTCTATCATTGAGTTATATCCCCAGGCCACAGGTTTAATTTCTAAAGCAAGGATGGATATTCTAACATGAACTCACTTCTCTTGAATCCTCTTTAGAGAAACATGGAATGTGATGTTGATAAGTCCTGTGCCTGCTTTAGCCCACCTCTTGAGATAAAGGGAAAGGTTATATGCAAACAGAGTAAGGCTAAACTCCACAAGCAGCTAAGACAAGAGCCCTCCAGAACATTCAGCAAGTGTTCTAGTGCCTTTGAATGCCTGACAGCCTCATGGACCTAAAGACGTGAAAAATCAGGCACTTGCTTAAAAGAAGTTTGGGATTTATTGTAGCTGAGGTGTTTAGGCCCTTGAGCTAGTGCATGAACCAGATGGTAAAATGAAATACTTAATTGAGCCAGTTAGTAATTAAGGCTGTAATAAGGTGCTAATTGTGCAGGCCAAGTACCAGGTACAAGAGAGAAAGAGCTGCTGCTAACAGCAATAACATTATGTAAAGCAGAAGTAAATACGTCCCACCCACCCGGTTCATTAAAGCTATAAAAGAGCCTGGATCACTGCTGTGAACTCTTAAGAAAGTCAGCCAGGGAGTGTGTGTGTGGGGGGGGGGGCGTATTTTATGCCCAGTCCTAGGCAGACCAAGGCCAGATTTTAGGTCTTTTCCTTTGTACCTTCAGCCTCACAGAAGAACACAAAGTGAGCTGCTGCTTTTCCTAAAGGTCTGCTTGCTTTGCATACTTTGCATTTGTCCCGCCTGGCCTTGTGTGAATATTAGATATAAACAGTCTTTCATAATCTTGTCCTAGATTTTGTGATTTAGGATTATAGTGATAGAAAAATTGTACATGAGCACACATATTCCCCATTAGAGGAAGGGTCTGCCGTGTTTAATTTTAAGAAACTGGGCTGACTGTTGGAGTCTCATGAAGTCATATGTGAGAAAATGAGTCACACATACCAATTTCCAGGTGTAGAATATACACATAAGAGCTGTGCTCGGGCTGGAGAGATGGCTCAGAGGTTGAGAGCACTGACTGATCGTCCACAAGTTCTGAATTCAATTCCCAGCAACCATATAGTGGCTCACAACCATCTGTAATGAGATTGGGTGCTCTCTTCTGGCCTGCAGGCACACATGGAGGCAGAGTATGATACACAATAAATAAATCTTTAAAAAAAAGAGTCTGTGCTCAGAGTCTGAGGTCTAAACTGAGGGTAATACTTCAGTGTTGACCTAGAAGGGAAGAGGCTGGCACCATGCTTCTGGTAGTTACACCTTTGAAGATGGTTTGCTTTCCTCTTGGGAAATTTCCTGATACTCTTAGCCAGGTCAGGTGAGAGCCAGGGGCAAATATCCTTGCTTTCATCATCCCTGCACTTGAGAAAAGCTAGGAAATCATGTTTTTCATAGTCTCCAAACTGTAGCCTTCAGGATGCACAAACACTTGATTGAAGTCTGGATTTTTTTTTTTTTTTTTTTGCCTGAGGACATTGTCTCACATTCGGGGCAAGGAGGCTGCTGGGATACCTTTGTGTGGGATCCATCCCTCACCTTAACAAAGTAAGGCTAGTGCCCACCTGGCCACAGTCCTGCTGTCGTAAGTCTTGACCTTGGCATATGAAGTCTCTTTCTAGACCAAGTCAGTAGCAGAATCCAGAAAGACAAGTTGGTTAGAAAATACAGATCTGGTGAACAGACTCCTGGGCTGCTTTAGTGGTGTTGACTGGGTTCGCTGCTGACTTGCTTTGTTTCTGTAATTTTTTAGCATCACTTTACTCCCAAGCTAGTTTCTTGCTAGCTTGTAAAGCTCAGTCTAGATCCTGGATGTACAAAGATTTAAATATCATCTAGATAGCTCAGGGTAGCAGTGCCAGCCACAAGCCTAACAACTTGAGTCTGACCTCCAGAACCCACATGGTAGAAGGAGAGAAATGACTTCTACGAGTTGTCCTCTTACCTTTCCATGCGTCATGTGTGATATGTGTGTACATACATGCACACACACATAAATTAATAAATGAATTAAAAAGTAAACTCTGAGTAGACAGACCTCTGTGAGTTCAAGGCCAATCTGATGTTCATAGTGAGTTACAGGTCAGGCAGAGATAGTGAGACCCTATCTTAAAAATAATAAATACCGAAAAATGGCTCAAAATGGTATTTAATTTAGAGTGCTTGTTTGTTTGTTTGTAGCCCTGGCTGTCCTGGAACTCTCTGTGGACCAAAGTGCCCTAGAACTCAGAGATTTGCCTGCTTCTGCCTCCTGGGGACTGAGATTAAAGGCATTGCCACTACACCCAGCCTAATTTTGGGTACTTAAAGGCTTCTCACATTTATCATTTTGTAATATTTGATGGTTATTTTGCTGCTATTGTTTGTTAAGGTGTTTGAGGCAGTCAGGTGCAGCCCAGGCTGTTCTGGAACTCACTAAGTAGCCTAGGATGATTTTCCTGCCTCTACCTCTCAAATGCCGGGATTAACAGCCGCCACACATGGGTTTTTGGTACTTGGGATTGAACCCAGGCCTTTCTGGATGCTAAACAAACACTCTAGCAACGGAGCTCCAACCCCTGTTTAATGTAGTTTGGTAATGCTGTTTATACCTGTAAAAACTAAAACTGCTTGGGAAAGTGTAACAATTACTAGTGGCTTTCTTTTGAATATTAGTGAAGGATAGGGAAGGAGGGTTAAACTTTTGGTTCAAAAAAAAAAAATCAAGAACATGTTCAATTTGACCCTGACAAGAAGATTTCAGAACCGAATCCCTGCAAGGACCTTTAAGTTAGCTTCATCTTTGCTCCCCCCCCC